AGCAATCAGCTATACAAAGATTGACTCAAGAAAAATACTAACCTTATGATACTCCAGATACTTATGAAGCTAGAGTTTGGCTACTATTATTAGAAGTGGCAGACAATGATGTGCAAGTTATAGGATTTTTTAAAAGCTACTTAATGGGTGATTTTTACACTTGGATAAGAATAGCTAATCCAGCAGGCATTAATGCATTTTTCACCGAACTAAAAAACATGTGGCTGGAGTGTGCACCAAATTTGAATGGTCAAGTTTCTCAACAATCTTCCTATAATACCAAAATAATAAAAGCTTCTATAATTTCGCAATCAGTATTTCCTATACCTAATACACAAAAAATAATTGATAAGGCATTAGCGAAACAAAAATCTAATTATGATGCTGAGATAGAAAAATTGAAAAAGGAAGTTCAATCCTCAAAAGCATAGAAAATACAGATACCAGTTCCACAAACCGTTGAACTAGTTAGACAGCTAAGAGGCCCCCATCAAATTTAAAACCAGAAGATTATAAAAATTATTATGTAGCGAAATACTTTAATGATTTAGGTATATATAGTAATGAAGATTTAGATTCATATTATCCTAAAAAACCTTTTCAAAAAACAAACCAACCTGCTAGAATAGATAGAATAGAATCAAAAGTAGATGAATTTGAACAAATGACATCTCAATTTGGAAAAATAGTACTTGAAAATCAATCCAAAAAAACAGTAGCCAAATCAAATCAAACACAACGATATTATCCCTTTCAACTAATAAATTCTAGCGTTTTAGCTAATGAGGAAGATAATGAGAGTGGATATGATGAAGAAAAAGATATATAGCTTGATTCATCGGAAAAAAAAAATAGATATTACCAGTAACATATAATGAATTATTTCCAAAGCTTTCACCAGTAATGCAAAAAATATGTCAGTCTCATAGTTCAGAAGGAAGAATCAGATGAGTGGTTTTCATCTCTACAATACCTAAATGCTAGTATAAACGATTTATCTATTTCTGAATCTTTTTTAGATAATGGAAGTAAATTTGGGGCCTTAAATGATGCAACAATTAATGCCTTCAGATGAAAAGCTAACAAGCCATCTGACTTCGATATAAAAGATAACTCTAAACATATCACCGAATCGTTGGGGTGGTTTACAGATATGCTAGTCAGTATAAAGGATAAGAATAGTAAAACTGTTACAGCTATTAGAAATTTTACACGTATTGATAATAGTGAACCTGAACTAATGTTATGTTTAGGTATGACATAGATTCGAAAAGTTCAAGGTATTCTTGACCCAAATAAAAACCAATTCCAAATGAAATTACATGGTAAGTCTTATATTATTCCAATATTCAGCAAGAGCCCATCTAGCTCAACTAATAAGAAAGACTTAAAAAAAAATATAATGAACTTGAAAAGCAACTCATAAAGACTGAAGAGTAGCTTGATATGGCTTTAAAACAGGTAAAGCTCTTGCAGAAAGATGTTCTCAGCTTACTGAGACAAAGATAGAAGCATAGGAGCTAATCTTTGGTGTCTTTTATTAATTTTTCAAGATCGTTTTTCCTTCTAGATATATTATTGTTTTGCAGACCTGTAGGGGGTGTCTCTTTGAGACATGAAACTTTGTTTCTATCAGAAGAGACACTTTTTTTTACTGCACATGAGGAATTAGAATTTTGAGAAAGCTGAGCTTCAAGTCTTTGACTCATCTTTGGTTGTGTTATCTCTGCTAATTTATCTAGTGAAACTTTAGAGTAAATCATATCATTTGTATTAGATGAATTATTGTCAGAGATAGACACATCATGGCTAGATATACTAGACTATACTTATACATTTTGTGCATTATGCAAAATATTTAAATTTTGATTAGAATCATTATCATCATTGTGGAGTATAGGTTGATCTCAGAGAACTCTATTAGCTTCTTCTCCCTCCAAATCTGATAAATACATTTTGTTGATGTTTTATACTTACCCATCAAGTCATTTAAAATTTTATATCTTAGTTTTATATCACGACATTGTATAATATAAGAATAATCTTCCTGAGAAAATAGAGGTGCATCAGATCATATACATACTCTAGGCATAGCAGTAAATATAAATATAAGATGTTTATATCTAACAAAAAATATAAAATATATCAAAATATTAA